TACAGTTCAGGAGGGTGAGGTCAATTGCCTTGGGAAGTTCGGCCCTTATGTCTGTAATTGGTAATCCGGTCTGCAATTAGTAAGTCCTGGTGGCGTTGCCGCCGATGAGGCTAAAGTTGCATTTTTCTCTGGTTTGTTTTTTCCAACGGGATATGTGAATAAGCGTACCGCCGATCGAGCTTTGCAAATAGTGTTTGCTGAGTTTTATCTGGTTTTACCACTTGTGCAATATTGTCCAAAAGAAGATATATGTTTGGTATTTGGTTTTTTTTGTGGAGAGATTTTTTTGATCTTTTTAGAATCTAGTGCCAACTGTTTTATCTTTTTACGGTTATGACTATTCGGCTGATAAACTTTCGATCCAAATATTTGCTCTATTTGATTATGTGATTTTGATCAATTAGCTTGTTGAGTTCATTCTCAACCCGCTGATGCAAATTTATTGGAATTCGGCGCAGTTTTTGTGGAACCGGGGTTGCGTCTTTACTGAATTGCGTTCGCTTTTTTATGATTTTCTGTTTTCTGATTCGTTTGCACAATTGTTTGAAATTGTCTTTCAACCACTGTTTCAGCTCAGTGTGTTATTTTTCTTTCGTTTCTTGAATACTCAACGTTTGATATCGATTTGACTTTTCATGAATCAATTTGACTCCGATTTGTGGTAATAGGTTTCTACCTATTATATTTGCTTTTTGATCATCTATGATAATGAGTGGTGCGAAGTGTGTTGTCTAGCCTCCGAACTCTATTGCAATAATGAGTCTTTCTTTGGGAATGATGTTTTTACCGTTACAACATGCTAAATATCCTGCGGCGTCTTCCGGTGGAATATATTCCAATATTGTCAATTTGTCATTTTCCTGCAGTCGAAGAGCCGTTTTTTTGTTTGAAAATGACATCGGAGTTCCCGAGTCGGCGAAAGCGTACATGGCCTCGGTTCTTGTTTTCAATTTTCTGATGTGGCCGTTGAGGTCATCTTCAGTCAAATTGGCTGAGTTCTAAACTTCTGATGTTGGGATAACTGAAAGTTTATTCAATTGGAATTCTTCCCATCCATGCGTGGATGTGAACTCCGCAACCGCAACTGGGTCTTTTTTTTGTCATTTCGTTGTCATTTTCCACTTCCTCTTGCTGTTCATCGTTCCTATTCTCCAGATAGTTGACGTTCGTAGATCTGCATACTTTTTCAAAATGGCACCGTTTTAAGCAATGTTTTTCTTTTGTTTGGCGCAATTGTAAGTGGTTTGGACCGAACTGTCAGTTGCGCTTATAACATTGCTTTTGTTGCGGTTTATAGTGAGTTTGTGGTTGTTGACCTCTTGTGTTTTGTGTTCCACGTGTGCCATATGCCCTGTCACGGAATCCGCCAGGGCCTCTTTGTGGATTTTCTATGTTTATTTATCGCGGGTTGATGTAATGTATCTCTTCTTGTTTTGTTGGTGTTGTTGATTTCGGCTAATAATTCTTCCGCGAATTTGTTCTTGTACATGAGGGCAGTAAACATGTCCCTTACCAACTCGTCGTCTCGATCTCTGCAATGGGCTCGCGAAGCCAATTCGACCAGGTCCGTGTGGAACTGCTCTAATTTTTCATTTTTCTTTTGTTTTCTACAGATAAAGTTGTACCTTGGCCTCTTTTGTTGAACCTCGCGCTGTCCCACCGCGCCGAGACATAGAAATAGCTAACTCTGAACTTTTGCATCGGTCTCGCCCCAAGAAAGAGAGTTACACAGAACGCCTTTTTCTCTGGCTTTTAAAACGCGGTTTTCGCAACCGACTCGCTTCTCTTGGTTACTTACGTCGCAATTTTTCTTCTATGCCTCCGTTTCACCAGTTATTTCGGCTTCATATATAGGTTCTTTGGGTTCGATTAGTATAAGCTTAAGTCTTAGCAAGTTTCGTACCTCGATTCGTACCTCATGTATTGCTGCCCATTTAGACCACTCAAATGGTGGTTCAGCTGACGCCGTCTCGCAAAATGGATTACTATTTAACGGGTTTTTCGAATATCCTGCCGACAGCGACATGTCATACACAAACACTTAGTCACGTTTCTCCGAAACTACATTAAAATACCAAAACAAGGTAAATTTCAGAGAAAAATAATTTAGATTTAATATTAATTTTATGGTTTTTGTGGACTTTTTGCAGATCATTTTCTATAAATTTGAGCATTGTAACTTTTTGAAGGCAAATTCAAAAAAACTCTACAAAAAGTTTCCTCTATGTTGATCAAAAGAAACACTTTATGTTGATCTAAAGAAAAGGTTTTTATTTGGTTTCCAAAAAATTTAACAAAAAAACTATAGATAATCATTACAAACCTAAAACAATGATAATAAAAATACATCTGCCATAATAATTGCAAAAACAAGAACTAGGAAGAAAAAAAAACACGAATCTTACTCATCTATTTTTAGTTTCAGATCCATTGCAAATGGCAATGGACGCATAGGTAACTTGATACGAGGAACATTAACGTACGGAAAATTACTTTGAGCTTACGTTAAACTTCCCTCTGAATTCTTTTTTTTATGTGGAAAACAGTTGAATTGAGTGAATACTTTGAAACAGGATGTCAGTTTTGGCAAACAAATCTAAAATAAATTAGAACTGAATTGGGATGAAAGTTGGACTGGTGGAAAAGCTTCGATGCTTCACCACATACGCTTGGCCCTTCACGAGTTTTCTTTGAGGAACTCAAAATGCATTCAAAAAAGTATCAGGGAATAGCTCTGATTGTTCCGACTACTTTTTAAGGTCTAATAGTATCAGGGCGAAGCCTTGATTGTTCCAACTGCATTTTAAGGTCTATGGAGCAGTAGTAACATGAAAAAAATCATAATACATATTTTTTCAGTTTAAGATTTTTTGTAAAAAGCATCCTACCACACGCCATATAAATTACAACGTAGATTTAGCTCCTGGTAACATATCAGTTATGGCGAATAAGCTTCCTTCAACCATTTTGGAACAATTTCTAAGACGGAATAAATCTCTGCTTAAACGTTAATAATGCGATATGCGATATCGCGCTTTAATTGTGCCACGTTGGCCAAAATGGCAATCTTTAAACCCCCATAACATTACAAAAAATGATCACCAGTGAAATATCTTTTCAATTTTAAGCTCATAACAACGATAATTACTGAATGATATGAAAAAAAAATTCCATCAATAATGGCTAGTTAAAAAGTCGAAATTTGTCTGAAGAAAAAATACCACTCCGAGCACAAACATTCCGTTACTTTGGTTACAAAAAGAGAAACAATAACAAAAAAAATAAAAGCTAGTTTGTTTGAATTTCAAGTCATCAAATTGATCTGAGAATTAGAAAAAAGCATCATCAATTGTTTCATCGCTAAAACTTTTTTTGAAACTTCTCCCAAAATTAGGTTGAAATGAGTGCAAAGCAATTCTACTTCCACTTCGAGTTTTGTTTGATTTAGTCAATATGCATAAGAAAAAAAAACACCTTACGCCACTGTGAAGTGATCAGAACAAAACACTTTAAAAAGTATTCACGGGTAATTACAATGCAAAGTTTTTTATACGAACGTTTTTCCTCACTATCTTATTGTTGTTCTTTAGTAACATGCGATTGCATTAGATAAAAACTACATCAATAAAATGCTATTTTATCTAGCGCAAAAAAAAAGATTGAAAAATGAATAGAAAAAACCTCCAACCCTATTGTTTTTTCCCGTTTCCTGAAATGGCCAGAATAAAAAATAGTATTCATGGGTATTTACAGGGCAAACTTTTTTCCACGTGTTTGCTTAAAATCTTTTTGATTTTGAAGAAAAAAGCGGTTGAAATAGATCGAAACTGAAAGAATTAAAATTAAATTTACCTCAAATAGCGCCATAATTTGATTTAGCACAAAATTGGGCTAACATATAGTGTCAAGTGATTGGTCTGAAAATTGAAAAAGTAATCACTTTTTTTTCGCTACAAACTTTTTCATTTTTTTTGGAATCCATAATACGGATCAAAAAGCTTCTGTGGTATTCTAAACCAGACCACTCATGGATATTTTTGAAATAGTCGAAACGCTTTACAAAAAAACATCCTACGACATGTTCCCTACAACTTACTAAATTGGGTGAAACAAAAAAGTTTCGATAAGGATTTAAGGATATTTATTTTGAAAACATTTTTCGTTCACTTTTTTCTTCGAGTCCTCCTGAATTTCTTAGTAAAAGGCTGAAAAAAAAGTAATCAGCTGAAATTTGCGAGATTGCGATGAAATTTTATCTAAAATAACGCCAAAAATTAAACTAGAACTAAATTGCGCTTAAACTCAATTTCATTAACTTGGCTTAGACAATGAAAAACGCATCCCAATTTCTCTCGAAAACCAGACATTTAATTTTCTTTTGGAATCCGCAATACGGCTGAAATAGCTTGCATGCGGTTTAACACTTCAGCAGCTAGGAGCTTTCTTTGAGGTATTCAAAATGCATTTGAAAAAAATCCCTTCGCCATAGTTCCCTCTCATTTCCAGAAGTGGTCGGAACAAAAACCTCGAATAGTATTTACATTTGAGGCTATTTAAAAAACAAACATGCCTTGAAAATGTCCATTGACTAGAATCTCCTACAGAATTGATGAAAAAACTCATAGAATTTAGTAGACAAAATTTTAACCGGAGCAAAATTTATTTTAACGCTTGCGAATATTTAGTTAAATATATTGCTTTACCTAATCATAATCATTTCATACTAAGCAAATGGACAATACAATGCGCATATGAGCAAAAAAAAAAAGCATTTTCTTAAACATTTACGAGCAAATGTCAAATTGAATGCGAGGTAAGCTCAGTCCGATGCCGCCTGCAGACTAACTATATTTTACTTACATACATACTGTGTGCGAGCCTAACAAATTTTTTGTCTTAAAAAAGTTGACGAACAATGCTTGGCGTCAGTTTCAATAAATTTTGCGTATAAACACCAGGCAATTTTACTCTGACGCATTTGAGCAGAAACCTGGCGGTAGCAAATGCGTTAAGCCAGTGTACACGATTACATCTAATTCATCTAAATTTATAACAAAGACAATTTTGAATGTTCTCGCTCAATTGAACTACTAGTTCAGATTGCTAGACAAAACAAAAAACGAATATCAAATTATCTGGCTTCTTTTTTTTTCTGATCGTATGGTTGCTTAAAACTGCTATGGGTCAATCTTCAAGTTCGGAGTCACATGAAAGTGGCCTTGACCTGCTCATTCAGATAAAAGCGAAAAACTCAACTAAACTTTTAGATTTAAATTTTCAAATGACCGATAAAATTTCCTCGGGTGCTTTTGGTTCGGTTTTTATTGCCAACGACCGAGAAACGAAAAAAATATACGCCGTCAAGATATTCCACACCAGTGCGAAAGCTGCGCCAAAAGACACCAGAGCTTTCCGGAATGAAGCCACAACACTGAAAGCTACTAAACATCCTAATATAATCAAGTACTTCGCCCATGGAACTTCAAACATCCTTGGCCGCAACAGACAATATCTGTTGACTGAATTTTGCGACCTCGGCAGCTTGAACTCGTTAATCAAATCATCTCGATCGAAAAACACTGGGAAACCAACGGACATGCAGTTCATCGACACATTCTGCCAGAACATATCACAAGCTATTTTTTATATCCACGATGAGCTACAAAAATTGCACCTGGACATAAAACCTGCAAATATTTTGCTTGCAACTCGGGGTCCTAAGTCACCAGAAGTAAACACGAGTCCCGGAGATTTTTCGGCCGACCGGGTGATTTTCAAACTGGGAGATTTTGGTTGCTGTCAGCGCATAAAGAACGCGACAAGTTTCCCATTCAGCCCACCACACTCGTCTCCAGAGGTCATCAAAGGAGAAGTGGGAATGATTTCTACAACTAGTGACGTTTTTTCGTTCGGTGCGACATTATTCGAGCTTTCTACACTACAAAACCCCAGTTAGTTCAATTCAATACATTTATAATATTTTAATCACCACTCCGGAAGTAATTATGCTTGTTACTTGAACAGTCCGGAAAAATGCATTTTTTCTGTTACAAATGATTTGCATTTTTTCGACCCGTAAAACACGAACTACTGTGCTCTTCCCGTTCTATATTACGAAAATCTTGGGGAATATGAAAATTTAAAACTGCCTAAATTGCTGTTGTGAATAGAATCAAAAACGTGAATCCTGTTTCAGTTGAGCCAGTGCAAGGTCCCCAAGGACATGAGGTAATTGTGCCCCGCGAGGTGCGTTTTGCACTGCCCCCCTCTCTCAACCCCAAACTGAGACGTCTGTGCCTTCTCTGCCTCAAAGACGACCCCTCTGGAAGACTGGACACCAAAGATCTTGTCAGTCACATCTCCACAATGCATCTGATTTGACTTGAGTCTCGAACTCAATTGACCAAAACTTCCAAGACTGCAAAAGACTACGATAGAAAAACTAGTTTTTTTTTTAATGTCAACGATTGGCTCCTTTTCATTTTCTATCCGCCTTTTACAAATATCGATTTATGTTCGAACCAATGGTTTGACAAGCTAGTGCATAAAGTCCAAATATGTTTGGAATTATGTAATTTCATAACAATCAGACAAGATCAACAAAAAAATAGTTGAAAAAAATAACAGATGGGTAGAAAAAAAGCCGAACGCTTGAATAATCGTATAAAATTGCCGATTTTGTAATAATTTAACTGTAGATTTATAATCGCAAACATTTTTGCTGATTTTTTGTCCAAGTGCGCCATGCCTGGTTTGGATTTACAGCTCGTCGCCCCTTCAGCGAAAGGCTCGAGGCATGGTTTGATAACAGTTTTGAGTTAAACTGGCTATACACAGGTTATCGTCACAGATGTTCCACAACGAAAATCAATGATCAAGGATTGAAAAACGCTGAGATAAATTCGAATATATCGAGAAAACGTTGAAAAGATAAAACATAGAATAATAAGAGCCTTGAAAACAATCGCCTTGAAACGAAAAACATCTGGCAAATACTGAATTCTAATCGGGATCTCCAAATTCCTAACCAAACTGCCCCCATCAGACGCCACTAAATCAGAAACACAAAGCAACTTTAAATGCGCGTTTACTGCGCTGATTTAAATTATCCGGACAAACAGAGTTCCGGAAAACAAAAACTGCATAAAATTTCACCAGAATTAATATGTTCAACCAAAATTTATGGTCAACGTCAACAAAAATTTAACCCCAAAAGCCTCTTATACAGCCCAACAAAAAAAAACTTCCAAAATATTGCTTAAATTTGTTTTTAAAGAAAACCTTTTGATTTTTACTTAGCAAGAATAAATTTTTTGGCTATCAACAAAAATAAATTCTCTTATTCAGGTTTTTGGTAGTTGTACCCTTCTGGAACTTTGTTGGACCTTGTAAGAGACTTATTTTGATACCTCAACCTCGTCAATTAACTAAGCAGTGTCAGCGAAATTTTAAATTGTTTTAAAAAACCAAAATGACCAATTTTTGGAAAAAATTTGGGTGAGAGTTTTGAACAAAAAATGCATCATTAATTCTGCCGAAATTTTGAGTTAATTTTTTTTTTCATTTTTGTCTAATCTTAACCCAATTTGAGAAAAATGATTTTGTAGTTCCGAATGAGGTTCGCGTTGTCCGGTTAATTGAAATCAGCACTGTATTGTGAAAGTTTATACTGGGCGACATTGAAACCGTATCATGCCAAATTGAGCAAATTATTTTTTGCTTAACAAAAATGGTTGCAAAAGAAGAGCAACTTGTCATATGAATACTCTTGAAGCATATTTTCTGCACCTAACTTGCATTCGATTCCCGTCTAATTTAAGTCTGACATCACAAAGCCAATCTGTGTTTTTTTTCCGACTTTCGTAACGAAAGTAGCGGAATAGTTGAGCTCGGGGTGGTTTTTTTTTCAGACAAATTTCGACTTTTTAACTAGCCATTTTTGACGGAATTTGTTTAAATATCATTCAAAAGGTATTAATGTCTTGAGCTTAAATTTGAAAAGATTTTTCACCTGTGATCATTTTTTGTAAAGTTATGGGGGTTTAAAGAATGCAATTTTGGCCAATTTGGGACAATTAACGCGCGATATATTTCGCGTTATTAACGCGTAAGCGGAGATTTTATCCATTTTAGAAATTAATTCAAATTGGTTGAAAGAAGCTGATTTGCCATAATTGAATTGTTACTAGCAGCAAAATCTATCACTCTGTACTTTGTATGGCATGTTGGGGGATGATTTTTACAAAGTCTCAAATTTAAAAAAAAAAAAATCAATTTATTTTTTTTATATTAACTTTTTTCATGTTATTACTGCTCCATAGACCTTAAAAGGCAGTCGGAACATTCAGGGTTTCGCCCGGATACGAGCTGTCTTGTTTCGATTTGTAAACGGAGTCCTCAATAAAACTGGACAAAGCTTTGTCGTGGAATCCGGAACAGTGCTAACTTTCTTTGATTTTTTTTTGTTGCTGTGAAATCTAGAGACAAATGGCTACAACATAGAAAATCTCCAAACCGCTTGCTCAAGCAGAAAATTTGGCGGAATCTAAATTAAACTGAACGATATCCATAAAAAAGTTAGACGTGTAGTCGCAGAAACTGCTTTTTGTATGTGGAATCCGCATTTTGTAAGCGAAATCCCCAGTTTGCGCATTACAACTGTTTTTTTTTTCAAATGCGGATTACGATAGCAAATGCGGAATCGGCAATAATTTGCTGTATTCACGAGTTGCGGATTTCAAATTTTGACATGTTTAAAGTTTCAGAGACACACACGCACCAAAAGAGAAAAGTTTACTGATGACTTATTGTTTAAATTTAGTTTAAATTCGAAATTTAGACCTAAAAACGCCAGTTTTTCCTGGGAGAATGACTGACACAAGGTAGAAAACATAATTGTATAATACAATATTTTAATTTTTTCTCAAAATTTTATTATAATGCTAACCGAGAAATTGCTTTCTAGCTTTACGCCAGGGCCGAAGATCAAAATAAATTGCTTTGTCAGAGAAACCATGTGGATTTGAGGAATTCCCAAAAACAACAAAAATGTGGGTAAGATTGCCTAAGATACACTAAGCTGATGAACGCAATTCTAAAATTTAACTCATCTATTAATATCAATAATGGGCATTCATAGTGAAAAGAAGTAAAGATGTTTCATGGCAGAAGCTCCCCTGCTGCAAAATAGCAAGTTATAACAATCAGAAAAAGAAAAAAAGGATAAATATGTAAAATATATTATTTATTTCGATTAGGTTTTGATAAAGTTTCAATAAATTCTGCTCCTTCTAAGAATTTTTACATAACATTTCTGGACAAGAAAACTGTTTTATTTGAGCCATGGTTCAAAATTAAGAAGGATCCATCAAATTTGGGTTAATTTTGATTAAAACTATAATAAAATCAAGCATTAAATTGTCTTGAAAAAAAAATGGTATGAATTTTTCCTATTTTATCGCAGAAATTATATTCTGTCTTTGCAAAAGCATGTTTTCAGTTTTTGAGCTTAGAAAAGCATACACTTTTTATTATGATAGGTATAAATTTTGTGGTATAAAAATTTCGGTAGAGTCAAATTAGATCCATCTCTCCCTTAGTTTGAAGAGATCGAGATTTTTGGCGGGTAATTTCCTGAGAGAAATGAACATGTACTCTGGGCGACCCCAACATTTACATAATACAGGGCGTTGCTTACTAAAAGCGGATTTCCGACAATCAGTTAAATTTAGCCGGTTGAGATCCAAGTAGCACTTAATTTTCCGACGCCAAAACTTGAAATGAATCAATTCATAAGCTTTAAATTCAAAAAAATAGTCTTCATCCGTTGTTCTTTTTTCAGATAAAAAGGCCATTGAAGTGGTTAGTAACTAGCGAAAAAAGTTAAATATTAAAAAAAAACTATAGATCGTATATTAAAAAAAACTATAGATGGACTACCGTTTACGGTAGTCTGAAAACGTTTACGGTAGTCTGAAAATGTTTACGGTAGTCTGAAAAACGTTTTTCTCCACACTGAAACGACTTTTGATGCTAGTGGAATTCGGATTGCAATCAATGGAGTTTTTATAGTAAACCGCAATTTTTGAGAAACATAAAATTGGACAAAATATTGATCTTACGCCACAGTTCCTTTTTGCCGTTTTCAGTGACGTGGTCACAACAATGGGGGAAAACCCTAATTCCCGAAAAAAAAAATTGATTTGAAGCAAACCCAACTACTTTACGAACTTCAGTGTTCCGACTATTGAAAGTTGGGAAGCCTTTGTATTCAGACGTTTTTGAGTTTTCTTCTACTTTTTTGTTTTCTACGCAAAATCAGGCTCAGTCACGTGACATAGAAGTTAATACTTTTAATTTTCAAGCAATGAAAAAATGTATATCTTTTTCTCGTTTCTGCTATTTGCTCTACAACTACTAGATTCACGGTTGATACTTTGCCATGGGGTAGATGAAGCTCGTTATTCAACAGCTGTTTACGGAGATTTTTTGGCACTAGGAACACCTCTTTGACGCCCTCTACTTAAACGGCCAACCGACACTTTCAAAACAAACTTTTAGTTTTTTTATCCAGCTATAACCTGATGAACAATTTCATATAACCCACGTCAAAAGTTCAACCGTGAATCTATAATAGTTTTTGAGAAATCGGCAGAAACCCGAAAAAATTGCCGTGCATTTCATCGCTTGAAAATCAAAAGTTTGAACTTCTATGTTTCGTGACTGTACCATAAATAATGTACCCAATCAAAAAATCTCTGCAGGTCGAGGAAAACGGATTTACAATTTCTGGACTAACTTTGAGCTAATAAATCAAGCGAGCAACCTTATAAAACGCAAATCAACGGGTTTAGGAAAACTGGTTTGAAATTTCTGGTCTAACTTTGAGCTAATAAAGCGAGCGAACAGGCTTTTAGTACGCAAATTCGCTGAGGAAAACGGTTTTGAAATTTCCGGTCTAAAGTTAAGCTAATAAAACGAGCGAGCAGGCTAGTACGCAAACCAGACGTATAAACTTACCCCAGGAAAATTTAATTGTGAAACCTCTAGCGCTTTATTGAAAACGGAAAAAAATCTTTTTGAAAAAAACATTCTGCAAAAACATTGAAAAAAAATTTACTTATACCATTTTTGCTTTTGAATTATTTAATTAAACACAAATTGTTTTCAGATATGCCTATTCTGCTCTTATTATCGAAAATATTTATTTTATAGGCTTTCGTTTAGATCAGCTTCCGCTAGAACCAAAAAAATTTATGCAAAAAAATATATGTTTATTCTGTTGTGGTCGGGTCTTTTTGTGCTACTTGCTCAGCACCCGACTATCCTGGTTGAAGATGTGTTTTTTGAGGAGTGAATAAAGACTATTGGATAAAATAAGGAATTTAAAAACACCACTTATGGCAAAAATCATGGTTCAAATTGTCGGATCAAACTTTAGCACATTACGTCATCTCTAATCGTAGTACACATAACAGCCAACAGAAGGATAGAAAATTATCAATGAATTCAAGAAAACCAAAAAAAAAAGATTTTTACCACGTTTTCAAAGTTTCGAATTTCGGATTGAAAAATACATGTCAATGCTCCTTGAACTTCACGCTTTTGTCGAAATAAAAACTGATTTTTTTTTATAAATCAAAACCAATGAGAAACAATTGGATTGAATGGTATCGATTTTTTCGCTGATATTTCTGATAATTAAATACCATTTTAACCATAATTCGATCTTCTGTTACTCATAAGCGCTCGATTTGCCTTCATCGCAAAAAATCAAATTTGAGCGCGAAAAAAATCAACGTGACTTAAATAAGTGGTGAAAACTTTCGTCATTATCACTTAAAAATGACAGCTTACAATCGTTTGGAGGCTACACCGATAGCAGCTCACTCTAACTCACTTATGCAAAAAAAATTTTTTGACCTCTTATTGATAACTAACAAAAAACCGATAACTAGTGAGAAAAATATCAATGTAACATGAAAATGAGCCTCCACCAGTATTAGAACCCATCACCGTAGAGCATTGCTGTTAAATTATCCTAAAAGCAACATCACTATAAAGCAAGGTACTTCCAGTCAGTCAGTGAATTTGTTGAACTATTTTACAGGCAAAAAGAAGTACAAGAGTTAGTAACATTAACTTAAACTTAATTTTAATGATGCCGTTGTCCGAACTATGATCGTAGATGGCCTATATTCAGCTCAATCAAATTAACCTTCATAGATTAAATTAATGCGGTTTAAAAAGTTATAATGGAAACAAAATCGTAACACTTCATCAAACAATGAGAGCCTATGGCCTAGGGTGTATTTTTAGACGGATTTTCACATAAAATTTGTAGAGGTCAAATATGGTATCATGACAGCCGCGATTTGCGACTAGGGTTTCAAAAATTACTCTCGAATCTAGTTAGAAGCTCTTTATCTTGGTTCAGACTTGAACTCAATTTGTTTCGTATGAATCCTATTTTTTCTAAAAATGACTCGGAGCAAAACACTAAAACTTTTAGGTGCTGGATCTGATACGCACATTTTTACGGTCAACGATTTTGAAAATTGCTTGAAAAAGTTATTTTTCAAAAATGGCCAGCCAGGCGGGAAGTTTTAGCAAAAAAAAAAAGCTTTTTGTTTTACGTCTCAAAGTTGTGCATTTTAAGCACATGACTTTTAAACGATTATACATTATAAGATTAAAGTTTTATACGATACTACATCGGAAAAATCTAGTTAATTTAAGTGATCTTTTCTAGCCAGTTGCCATGAAAAAGGCCTTCAACCATGTTTTACTTTTCAACTTTCAGAAACATCATTTGGAGGCTTAATTTTTATGAAAACGCCAATAATTAGTGAAGAAATATCATGAAATTCAAAAATTCTTCAAAAAGTTTTCAAATTAATCAAATTTCACGACTTTATAAGGAACTATTCGAATTGAAGTCCCTTATTTTACGATTCGGCTTGAAGTCCCGTCGGCTTGATGTCCGGCACCCAATGAAAGGATATCTTTAAATTTGATTTAATTTTTAATACGTAAGGGTATTCATTACTAGGTACTAGGGACAAAATAGTATGGGAGATCCAAATGATATCTGTTTGCACTTTATAAAAAACCCTGTAGATTAATATGCTTCGGCTTTCGATGCTTTTTGACAAAACTCGGACATAAATTTGAAATTCTTGATCACAGCAATCATATCAAAACTTGCAATCTATTTTCAAATACTTCGGAACAAAACTAATCAAAGAACGAAACAACATTTAAAAGTCTTAAACAAATAAAACAAACACTAATAACCTCACTCAAAAGTTCCAATTCAGTCTTCCTATGCAACTTTAGTCCACGACATATTTTAGACAGCAGAGTAATGTGATGTAATGCAGATTACATCTTTCCTTGAGGTGTTTTCTTTCCAATGAGTGACTTGTGAATATGAGGAATAACACCACCGCCTGCAATTGTAGCCTTAATAAGCGAATCGAGCTCTTCGTCTCCGCGAATTGCCAGTTGTAAATGCCTGGGAGTAATTCTCTTCACTCGCAAATCCTTGCTCGCATTTCCAGCAAGTTCCAGAACCTCCGCCGTCAGGTACTCCAGAATTGCGGCACTGTAAACAGCAGCAGTTGCTCCGACTCTTCCGTGCGAGGTGGTCCTGGACTTGAGGAAACGGTGGATTCTACCGACCGGAAACTGGAGGCCTGCTCTTTGAGACCTGGACACTGCCGACCTCTTGGCCTTTCCCGAATCTTTTCCTGATTTTCCTCCTGCCATATTGAGTGTATTTCGTGATATAAAGATACCTTTGTAGGCTTATTGAGATTTAAAACAGCGCAACTGAATTTATTCTAATTGCTATTGAGATACTAACTAACGTGGTCGCATGAACTAATCTAAAATACGTCAAAATAATTATCATTTATTAGTCATTGAAAATTACATTGTAAAGCAATATTTTCCACTTAAATTCGTTCATTCAAATGAGTTAGCAGTAATTAGCACCTTAATATAGCCATGCATAATCGCATCTCGACATTTTATATTACAATCAAGAAATACAGCTTCGATTACATGCAAGTTCATTACTTTACTCTTGACTACGTTAAACAGGCCTCCCTCAGTATATATTAGACCAAAAGTTCCTTTCATTAAGTTACCAATATAAATTACCAAAGTATACCGCGAACAACGCTCTAAGCTAAAACGAAACGAAACAATGTTATTGGTTTACATGTACTTACACAAATTTGAAAACCAAAAGGTAAAATTACGAGACAATGATATGGTAAAGCTAACGATGATCTCTGAAATAAATAATCCAGCCAATGGGTTTAATTTTCGTGTTTCAAAAACTGAATCTAAACCCAAGACTGCTCGTGACTTGTTTTGAGAAAAAAAACTTCAACTTTCGAATTTTAAGAAAAACTATGTCCTTAAACCTCTTTGAATTTCAAGAACAATTCATGACTAAAACTTTTTTCGATAAAATAAACCTAATTGAGAGAACTGGATCAAAAAAAATTTAATTCCACTGGGAGAGTTTGCTTTCCTTGTAGCAATGGAAATTAACTGAACTTAAAAAGACATCAAAAGACATTTTATACAAACTTTTTGCTTCCGCAACTTTTAATTGTGCTCCTACGCGTAGCCAAAAGGCCATGTACGTTAAAATCATGCCGCTCATCTTTATATATATTTTTAAAAAAATGACCACCTTAGCTTTCTAGTAATAATTCTTTCTCCGCTCTGAGGTAACGTGCGGATCGCAGGTGCAACGACTTGATCAAAAGAAAATCAGAAATTTAAATTTATATTAATTTTTTTCCAGTTTGTATAAATCCCGAATACTGACCACGAATTAAACATCACAAGCCTGAGTTCAACTCCAGTCACTATTGAAACAACCGCATAATTCTTTGATTGAAAAACAAAGCATTTGAAATTGGTAGTGAAATTCCGAGCAGTCAAACTACAAAAGCAAAATTCAGCGCTAGGGACTATAATTTAATAAATTTGTATCAAAAATTATAGCATGAGTGGATGACTTTGCTGTATAAAATTCTATTACACGATTTCACGCTTGATTCAGTAGTTAGTGTTAGTTTTTTTTCACAAAACGGGCATTCGAATTGATAAATTGAGTTTCTTTGACCAATAGATTGAACTCCGAAGATTGAAATTATGCGTAAAATTATAGTGTTTACAATGTTAATAATTCATGTATCGCTTACACTATGCCTCCATCGTCTTCATCATCATCATCATCATCGTCGTCGTCATCATCATCGTCGTCTTCATCGTCATCTTCGTTGTTTGAGTCGTCTTCACCTCCAATTGAGGGATCTTCGTTTCCAGCATTGGAGCTTTCATCGTCCCTGGCTACAGATCCAGTTCCTCCAGCAGTATCGTCCTCCATCATGTTCGTTAGCTCGTCAGTAAGATCCACAGAGATTGGTCGCCTGGGATCTGGTATTCCTAGACGTTCCCATCTCGGAACCATGTCCTTCATTCGTTCTTTGTACGACTCAGGCTTAGCAGTAACTGCTTGCTCGGCTTCTTTCTGCTCGACTTCAACCATTTTCTCCAGGATCTGTTTCATCTGCTCCTTTTTCCTTTCCATTTGAGCACTAGCCTTAGGATCTTTTTCAGAGACTTCAGGCTGTCGCGCAGAGTCATCAAAATCGCCGCGTCTTATTTTCCGGCTGATTTCTACATTCCGCTGTATAGCCGCCGTTGCTGAGTTTCTAGGTCCAGGGGCATCGAAATTATGACCAAACTTAATCAAAGTCTTATTGGCCTGCAACATATCGGCTAGTTTCATTTCTACTGCTTGACCTGCTTTTGTGAACTGATTTGCAATTCTCAGTTCTTTCAGAGTAGTGTTTTTCTCAACAGCCTCACAAAGTCGCAAAACACCTCCACTTCCAGAGAGGAAATTACTTTCAACGTTCAGCACCTCGATGACATCATTGTTTTCAATTATATCGGCCAGTGCAAAAGCTACACAGTCTTCCATTCGCGTGTTTGCCAACTGTATTTTCTTAGCTGTGCGGTTGTTTTTTAGTGCATTGAACAAACGCACGAATTTCTCCTTGGAGATATTCTTGATGTTGTTCAAGTTAATCTCAGTCAAGCTCTGATCATTGTCTGATGCTCTTTTTACCACATCATTCACGTCCACGGTATTAATCTCACTTCCAATCTTCAGAGGTATATCCATTTTAATTGTCCCACCTTTAACTTTGGACGGAGTTAGAGTCTCCATCTTCCCAGTTGATTTCAAGGCAACATTCTCTTCAAGGCCACTAGTATTCTTGCCATCTTTATTTCCAAATCTCTCTTTTTTATCCTCCTCCAGTATCATCTGAGCAGCCTGGTACTGGTCTTGATTAACCAAATGGCCCAGGCCAAGTAGAGCAGCCATATCTGCTATATCCTCTTCGCTGGCAGCGTCAATCATCATTTCCCAGTCTTCGGCAGTTGGGACTTTATCAGCTTGATCACCTCGAACTTCGTATTTTCGCACCTCTTTCTTGGCTCGGTAAGGCTTGCCTTTCTTTTCACCTGTATACGGCTCATAGTGGCCTTTGGGTTGATACTGAGCGGCTTGCTTGTCCAAAAAGTTCAATAACTTGTTTCGATCGAATCCGTCCGATGCGCTTTTATCCGAGTGGTAAGCAGTTCGCTCACTTGGTGGAACACTTTCTCCAGTACCTAGCACTGCTGAGTTCGTATCAAGATCGCTCAAGAAAATAGCCAGATCGTTGATATCTCGGTCACTCAGTCCATCCAATATTTCATCTGTTATGTTGGCTTTGGGTTCGACGGTCGTCATTTTTATCTGAAATTATGGAACAATTTTCAATACATACTTTACAATAGTCACTATTCACGGCAGCCTCTAGTTTAGTTTTTTAAACGAAGTCACTCGCGAATCTATGATTTTATCTAGGGTAGGCCAACTTTCCGAGCACTTTCTTAGCGCAATGCTTTTCAGTGTTTAGCACGTTTTTTAACTAATTTTAAGCTTTTTCGGCGCGCGCTCCTCTTCAAAATAAGTATATAATTGCGTCAAAGGTGTACGTTGGGGATATTTTACGAAATTCATTTTCGGCCGAACACACCTTAAGTTTTTCTGATGGCACCAAAGGGGTCGTGAAAAAAGTTAGGTTTCGTCTGCCGGAAATGGATTTCGTAAAATAATGCTAGAGCTTGATTCCAATGAACCGAGAAGCAATTTCGGTAGTAACTTTCTACTAGGCCTCAAGATTTATATCCATAGCCCGTATGCCAGGTTTCATTTTTAATCTAATATGGAGTGCATCTGAAAAAAATTTCGAAAATTTACTAATAAAAAAATGAACAATTAATTGCAAAATGATAAGCAATAACATGATGCAAGTGTAGGTCATGAAATTTAGCTCATGTTTAAAAAATATTTACAGGATAATAATGTAACAATAATAGTTTTGTCTTCCACGATGTTTTTCCGTAGGTTGTTTCCACGAGGTTGTTTCCACGATGTTTTTTCATAGGTTGCCATAGAGGGCTCTTCACAGAAAATAGATAGAACATAATTCTTAAATTCAAATTTCTTACATGTTAAGCTGCGGTTGGTAAGGTTTGCATTTGTGCTTTCAATTCGGTAACATATTACACAACTGATTTTCTGAAAAAAAAACAGGTTCTCGATATATTGACGGCTGAATCTTTCATGGTAGTTTCATTTTTTGGTTATCTTGTTCTAATCAATTTTGTTGTTCTCGTACTGGATTCTTGTATATGCTACTAGAAGGTTGTTTGATTTTCCAAAGCTAGCAGACTAATTTCCAATTGAGAAACAATGAAACTGGTAGTATATTGCAATTTAGATTAAGATCAGATGATGAATAGAATTTTTCTGTCAGAGCAGGTCTTACTTGCCCAGCTCAGTTGTTTTTCAATTGATTTTGTCGGACTATTTGTTGTACCGCTTAGGAGTACTACTGGGTAATGCAAATGGCTCATTAATAGAGCATTCATTTAAAGTAATCAATTTGGATTGTCAGCGTTCTTTTTGTTTATTGTAACATTTTGATTCCACGGGCCAATTTTCTCAAATAATTTCAACTTCACCTTGGAATGTAAAAAATTGAAAAAAAATTACCCCACATGCTTTACTTGGGGTTTTTCTTCTACTTTATTATAATATAAAATAAAAATGAGTTTTGTATTGTTGCTCCTAGCTTGATGTTTCTTGCTAATTTGATCAGTTCAATTATTCAGTATTGAGTTTCGAAAATTGTCTTTTAAAACACAGAGACAGTTTTTCACATTATTCCTGTAATAACTGTAAAGCATTATCAACATTATCAGCTTCACAAAACTTTACTGTATCGTCGGCATATTGCACTACTTCGAACTTTTCGGTTAAAACTTCATTGAAACCATTGATGCGTAGGTGGAAGATAAAGGGTCCAAAATTTGTATCTTGCGGCACCCTTTGGTGGAAAGAGATCAAATTGGATTCTGTGTTGCTTACTACAGTTTTATGTTGTCTGTTGCTCATGAAATTTTGAATCATGTTTATTGCTGGTGCAGAAATGATGTTGAATAAATGATGTTGAATAAATGAATGCTTCAGATAGATCTGATAGAGATACGGCACCAAAAGTATTTTATCCATTGATTTGCAGAAGAATACAATTCAAAAAAGATTCGCGTCACTTGTTGAATATGAGATTCTAAAACCATATTGAGTGTTACTGAGCTGAATCATAATCATTAGGAATTCATTGATCTGTTTGTATAATAACTTTTCAAAAATGTTTGAGAGTGCACCTGTTTTTGAAGTTGGTCTATAATTCTCAGTTCCTTCTTGGGCCCTCTTTTTGTGTATTGGTCCATATTTTTGTAAATTGACTTTTATGTATACTTTTGTAAAATGAATGTGAGGTTTGGTTTTTTTTCATTGCATCCATCTTTTAAAGCCCACGATGGTATGTCAGATGCCCCAGGTGGTTTGATTTGCATTGAGATTAATCAGTCTTTTCTTACACTCAACTTCACTAATAAAGTGTTAGAAAAAGTGCTGTTTGTCATGTTTAGTTGATATAGTGTTTCTGTTGATTACTTCATAATTATTGCTAACATTTTTTCTCCAAAAAAAATTCAAGAATCTTTTTGTTTAATGTATTAGCAGTTTAGCAATGTAAATTATTTTGCTGATTTTTTAGAGTTTCTAGTGTCATTTATAAGATTTCCTTTCGGTTGCTCAGTTGTTTTGGATTGAATAATTTTGTCTTTAAAGTTTTTTTTTGATTGGTCGTTTCAAATAAAAACAATTTTTGGTGGTGCGTTTTTCGAGCAATTAATTATACTGGAATTTATTATATTTTGAATATTTTTTCAGGGTTGTTTCGCCTGTAGAACGATTTCAATTAATGTTTGCTAAAGCAATTTTAAAGTTGTTCCCTGAATACTTTAATTTATGATTGATTTTACGCAAAAATTTATGATTTCATTTCAATTCATTTGCTAAAACTGTAGCTAGATGGTCAGTTTAAATTGGGAGAGCGAAAATGAAATTTTTGTTTTCCAATTCTACTGAGTGTAAACTGTAATAAAATAAACCATTAGTGTTTTGAACGCGTTGGTTTTGATTGATTGGCCACTTTTGTGTAAAAAAGCATTAAAACGGCCTACAAAGATTTTCTTTCTTCAGAGTTCAAATCAGTTCAAATTAAAGTCTCAAATTAAAACAATATTTGAATTATTCCGAAAATCTAACGATAAAGCAAGTTCTTCGATAAATTCTGTTTTGTTAGGTTTAGTTGGATTGTGAAATTTGTTTTTTAGTGCTGATCGTTCAATTATCTTTTCTAATGATATAAGTTCTGCCCAGATACTGTCATATTTCTTTTGGAGCAAGTTAAAGTCTGTGCGTGTTTTAAGATTCAATATCTTAGGAACGAGCATAATTACTCCTCCGCTTTTTGCCTTTTTGCTTATTACTGTTGATCTACCAGATCGGAAGCGACAAACTGATCAATGTCTAGTGTTCGTAAGTTAAAGTCATTCGAGTCCTTAAACCATGTATCAGTGAATCCATAAATTGTGTTCACTCCACAAGTGTTGACTAGTTTTTTAGGATTAGGCTTTTTTTCTATTTAAACTCCCGAAGTTTAGATGAAGAATTTTTCTTTTGTTTTTCTAAACTCCATGTTTCTCTGGTATGTCATAAAAGTTCAAGATTAGACCTGGATTTGGGTTACAATCTCCGTAGCCCAAAAGATTTCTTGCTAATAAAATATAATAAATAAAACTAGTAATAAGAATTGTAATGAAACTGTGTAAAAGTGCTCTTAAGTGGCGCTATAATCAGGATGAAAGTGCGAACCACCGAACGAGACCTAATGGAAAAAAATGCAATTTTACAAACTTCTTAATTTTAACAAATTTGCTTAATTCTTGAAATATAATAAGATCATCACAATTGGTAAAATTGAGTGCAAAGAAGCTAGTTAAGAAGTTAATTGATTTGATTGATATCATAATAGCGAAGCTTAAAATACCAAACTGTTTACTCGAAATCCTCCTAACTAGCTTGAGTGATATTAGCCTTGAACAGAGTTAGATAAGGCGGTTTGGGGCATGGCATGACTTTGACAGCTATTAATTTTTATGTGAACGCTGATATGGATAGATCCGATTAACGGAATTGTTATGCTTACGCTTATAGAAAAGTTGTACTTTTTTGGACGAGGAAGGTTGTTTGAGCATTGACTAATTAAGGATCTAAGGCAATTGTGCAAATACAGGACACCAAGCTCATCTGTTAGGTGTATATTGTTCCAATTAAAAAGCCCGAATTGTTGTTGTTTTTGATCAATATGTTTAATTTAGGCACCTGGTAACCAAATTTAAAACCGTATGAATAATTGACGTATTCTTTTTTGAGATCTATATTTGTTTTCCTTTTCCTGATGTAAAAAACAATGGTTTTTCAGAAGCTACAATTAACTCGGTTGTGAACAATTGTTTCCATCAGTTCCTCATATTTTGATGAGAATTCATTCAGTGTCCAAAACTTTTGTCTTTAAGATTGAGTTAATGTCATCGTTTTTATCACGCAATTCATTTCAGAACGCAGATGTCTACACAGAACTTTCAATTTTTCCTCCCTGTCGTTGGGCATGGTGTCGGTTCTAATTCACGCTGTGTTATTACAACTCATAACTACTACTTAAGCGTCCTCTGGAATTTTGGGCCGTTCAAATTCACGAATATTTGGGATTCTGCTGTTTTCGTTTAGACAGCTTGAACCCTAGGTCAATCCTTCAGTTGCACTTCATCGGCTCCCAGATTGGTTGATGACGTCGATGATTTTTCTGTATTCTGCTTCTGGTCTGCATAACTTTTAAAACGTGCAATTTAATTGTGTTTCTCAAATTCCTCAAAAATAAGTTTATGGCTAGACATAACTTTGGTTAAATGTGATGTTGTTATTCAATTATTTTAAAATAAATTATTTCAAAATCAGATGGAATACACTGTTAAAGAAATGATTGTAAAAATGCTGTATTTTCCGGAATTAACGAGCAGGATTTGATTTACATTTTTGATTTTCTTTCTGTTCTGGCACATTTGATCTTTTGATCAAATTAAACAAGTTTTCAGTACTTGAGGGAGTTGTTTTTTGAAATTCGGAATCAATCAGGAAAAAAGCAGGGAAAAGTCGAGCAAAGCGAGGAATGTTTCTAAAGGTCTTCTTTTTGTTTGGAAATTTTGAGCAGTTTAATTTTTTGGTTTCGAAATCTCGAATAGCGAAAGTTTCCTGGATTTTCCTAAGACTAGAGT